AAAAAAAAAAAAAAAAAAAAAAAAAAAAAAAAAACAAACAAAAAAAAACTGCCAACAACTAATTTTCTGAGTTAAACCAAGTTTTTAAAGATAGGTAGTATGCAAGTTACACTGTTATTTGCCTCATATTTTGCATCATATTTTTTAATCATTTTTAAATTAGTTCAAGTTAGAAACAAATCAATCCCTGCTCTCTCTCCCTCCTCTCCTCCTCCACCTCCCACCCCATCCTCCTTCTGCTCCCCAGGGAGGGTAAGGCCCTCCATGGGGTATTCCCTAAGTCTGTCATATCATCCTGGGCAGGGCTTAGGAGGCCTTGGCACTCAATGGGGCCTCTGGTAGCAGATCAGTATTTATCCCTGGCATATGAAAGGACTTTGGGAGTCCATTCCACATGGAGGGAAGCTCTCTCAGCATCATATTTTAAGTTATGCTACACAAATCTTTAAAATCACATATGGTCTATGTGGATCCTACATTAATATTTTTCTACAGAAAAGCATGAAAAAGTTACAGTTTTCAGAGCTACAGTCCAACCTGCCAAAAACTGACTTTGAGTTTTACAGCTGAATGCTAAAATGGCTCCTTGATAAAAAAAATAAAATAAATAAATAAAACACCTCCAGGGTTAAAAAAAAAAAAAAGATTCATTATGCAAACACGGCAAGTGCTTTTTCTAGCTGCTTTCCTTTTCTGTTTTCTTAAATCTTCCTGTGGTGTTTTTCACTTTGTTCCTTTTAGAAGTAATAAATTGGTCTTTTTTTCCCCCATAGAATGCTCAGATTGAGAGATTATTCTGGTAGAGAAAGGCTTCTTTACATGTCACAGAGCACTGTCCTGTCCTCACTGCTTTGCCTGGAGAAGATTTTAGCACTGACACACAGTTGTCTAACCTAGTGGACTTTTCCAGTCCACTTTCTCTTTGTTCTCTCTAATACGGATTACTAATCACACTCCAATTCCACTATACTCACCACGGCTTATCTCTCCCTTGGATCCATCTTTATAAGTCTAGTTCTTCCTCTTGTCTTCTTATCATCATGGAGCAATACAACCTTTCCTGGGGGGGAGGGGGAAGAAGGGCTGTGTGTAGGAAGGAAAATATGCTTGTGTTCATGTAGGAGTGTACATATGTGTATGTGTGTACACATTAAAGGCCAGATAGATGTCTGTGTCACTGTCCTCTCCAATCACTCTATACCTTACTTGTTGAGACAAAGGTCTGTCACTGAACCTGCCATATCTGGATGTTATGTAGTAGGTGATGGGAACTGAAACTCAGGTGCTCAAGCTTATGTGACAGGCACTTTACTGACTGAGGCATCCCCAGCAACAATGCAGCCTTTATAAAAGTGACACTCAAACATTATGTCTACCTGCATGGACTGTATTTTCCATGGTCAAATCCCCAACTCTATATATTCAACCCATAATCTTTGTTCAGACCCCCTTCTCACATTGCTAACCAGTCATTTCCCCTCTGCTATCTAGAGACTCATCAAGTAGTAGCCCAGCTCCTTAACAGTTCTTTTCAATTCCTCTCCCTCCCTCTCTAAACGTCGTATCCTTGTAACTTTTATCACTACCAGGCTATTAGTCTGGAACCTCGAGATGGTCTGGCTTTTTACTTAAACTTGTAAACACATTCTCTTATATCCTATAACCTTCTTTTGAAATCTTCTGGTAAGCTTTCTCCTCAAGGATTGCCTTTAGCCTGATGTACACCTAACCTTCTAATTTTATTTTCCACTCAATCATACTATAACAAGTTTATAATAACAACATGGTGCCTGTTTTCTTTAAGATTGTCTACTATAGAACTACAATGGCTGGGAATAATTAAAATACATCCCTGTAACAGATTTTAGAGTTACAGGATAATGACATGCCACAGAATAAACTTCTCCTCAGATTTTACTGGAATCTTACTTTGAAACATAGGATCTTACTACATATGGATCAAAGCTCATACTCCATAAATCTATATTTATATAAAAAGTTATTTTCTCCAAAAATCTCCTAAGAAGTGATGCTCCTAGAAGATGCCATATTTATTCTGTGGATTTCACATATGCCCTACTGCTATACACTCACGGGATTGTTTCCCAATTAGAAGCGCACTTGCCTTAAAGAACAAGATTCAAACAAATCCTTCCATCAATCCAATGTCCCTAGCACCTGACCCTGATAAGCCTAGCTGGCCTCAAACATGCTATCCAACTTTCTCAGCCTCCCCTAAGGTCAAAGATTGTGTGTATGCACCACACACCTGGCTCCTCTTTAACAATTTTACACCAACACAACGTTGCTCTTTTGAAATCAAAATTACATACTTTAAAACATTCTATTCGCCAGCTGGTAGTGTTGAATGCCTTTAATCCCAGCACTTGGGAGGCAGAGACAGACGGATCTCTGTGAGTTCAAAGTCAACCTGGTCTACAGAGTGAGTTCCAAGACAGCCAGGACTGTTACACAGAGAAACCCTGTCTCAAAAACTCAAACCAAAACAAACAAACAAAAAATATACAAAACATCCTATTAGTATTTTCCCAATTAATCCCATCTGTCTGCAACCCCCCACCCACTGGATAGGTAGAGGTGATCTTCCTTCGTCCACAGATCTCGTAAATGGTGACTTGATCTTCCTTCAAATTATGCAGCACTGTGTCTGCAGCCCTTAAATGGCAGCATTGAATAGACAGAAAAGTAAACCTATCAGGTTATAATAAAAAGTAGTAATTAAAAGGCTAAGAGCATCAACCATTATCTACCTGATCTTGGTGAATTACTGTAAAATCTCATACCAAGAGTTTACTCTTAGCCAATATGAAAACTAGTATACACATTTCTCATTCCATTGTCACCTGCTACTGTATAATCTATTTACATATTTTCTCATACTACAATAAGCATGTTTTTCATGCTGACATCTTCCTAGTAACATAACTCATGGCAGTTACTTCACTCATCCATTAGAAGAGATGTATGCATTAGCCAATATTTATTAAATTTTCACTTTATACAACTTATTCCAAATTTGTTTTCTTACATATCCTACTTCTGTACCTCATATTTCTTTTTTGTCCCTAACACAACACCTACAAGCAATGCACTTCTGTGTGCACTGTGTGATTATCTAACACTGCAGTTTTGAAAACTGAAAGTCATCAAACAATTGCCCCTTTTAGCAAAGTCCAAAGTGTTCTCCGTGGGTGCAAATCACCTAGGGCAAAATTACTCAATTGGTGTCAACTGTGCAGTTCAAGGCTATGAAAGTAGAGTTAACAAGTACCTACAATACACCTTCATATGGTGAAGTTCCAACTGAGTTTTAGAAAATATAAATGTAACAAAGAATTCCATCTAAACCATAAAAACTGTTTGCTACAGCTCAAATGATCTAAGATAGTAACACACCTATAAATGATTAGGTTTACTGAAACAGCAATAAACAACCTTAAAGATGTAGAAT